ATACAGTCTATAGTGGTCTCTGAAATAATGAAGATTTTCATGAAACTCTGATATCGTGGAATTAACCAACATCATCAGTGCCTCTCATATTTATTTCATTTCTCTGAATCGTAGCTGCACTAAAATCTAAAAACAGGAGCCAGGAGAGCACGATGAGGAGGAGGGGGTGGATAATAAAACAGTTTTAGTCATTTTTTAAAGAAAGAAATTCTTTGTTTTCAGATTCACGTGTGAGTTCTTTGTCTCTTCTGCCTTTTATGTTGTTTCTTATTTTCAATGTGGGTCAAACTAACCGGCCGATTTAAGTTGAAGTTATCTGAACTCTGATGAAACCTTTAAGGCTTAAAATGAACTTGCAGTTTTTTCACTTATGAAGTTCTCACAGTACAATAAAGGAGAGGGACGGGTCTGTGAACGTTGGGGAATAACAGCTGCGGTGCGTCGAGCTTTGTGATGAAGCAGCTGTGAGACGTCTGACTACTTTTATTTGTGCAGATGAAGAAGGATCTGATCAGACAGCTTCTGAGAGCCGGCGTTCACGTCGCCGTCACAGAAAGCCTCTCTGGAGACGTCTGCGGCCGCCTGAAGAAACTGAAGGTACAGGCGTCCCTTTACTTTTGCTCACTTCAGTCTCTTAGTGCCGTCAAAGCAGCTGAGCCTCATCCCAAACTCAAGGATTATTACTCGCTCTTATTTTGAAGGATGAGGACGTTCGCATCATCATCGCACAGCTGGAAGACGAGTCTGTGTCTGAGGTGTTCTGCTGTGTAAGTTACCTACAGAGCCAAAAGTATGTGGACACACTTTAAGGGCTTTTAATCTTCCAGGTTTTCTGCAATAACATTTCTGGCTTTTCCAGATTTTTGCCTGTGATGGACACGAACCTGACCTGGTGGAGAATAAGAGCCTGTTTTCTTGTTTCCTCAGGCGTACAGGCTGAACCTGTTTGGAGCTCGGTACCAGTGGATCGTAGCTGGCGGAGGAGCAGCTGGGTGGAGGCTGGGGTGGAAGTTTTCTGGCTGTACGGCCAACAGCCTCCTGGTGGCGGCAGACGGGGCCATCCGGCTGCAGGTCCGAGAGCTCGGCAACGCCAACACGCCGGGAGTCTCTGGACGGGTCAGAAACCGTTTGCACTGAAACAAACATGCAACAGTCAGGCTTGCAGAGC